TTTGAAGAGGGCAAAAACAATGTTGGGTAAAGAGCAGAACTTTTTTTTTTTTTGGTACTGGGGATCGAACTTGGGCCTTTGCACTTGCAAGGCAGGCTGTGGAACCACTGAGCTAACTCCCTGGCCCAAGAGTAGAACTTTTGTTCTGTTTTGGTATTGGAGATCAAACTCAGGTCCTTGCACTTGCGAGGCAGGCCACCGAACTGCTGAGTTAAATCCCCGGCCCAAGAGTAGAACTTTTAAGACTGATTTTATCCAGAAGATTATTCAGAACTGCGGGACTATTTTTGGTAAGTGTCATTAGCTGTCCTAAAATTACTAATGGGGAAAAACTCACCCTCCAATCATAATGAAATCAGTAACCAAAAGATACTAGAAAAAATAATTTTCTGAAGTTTTTCCAGTATTATTTAAAAACAGTTTACAAAACATGGCATCTTAATGAAAAATTTAAATTCTCAGATACTGTTCATTACAAAAATTTGTGGAGTTCAGCTAAAATGATACCTTAACAAATGCATAGCTTTGAATCCCTTAACCAAAAATCAAACAAATATTCATAGAAATGCAAACTAAAGAGGAAAAATGAAGGAAACAGTAATGAATTACCAAAAGCCTGGCTCCTGAGGGAAGAACACTTAAAGATGAACAGAGGAAAAAAAAAGCACAAATTAGTAATTTTAGGAATGCAAAAGTAAACCTAAACATATACAACAAATAATTCTGTGGATAGTATTATGGTAAATACTTGAAAACTAAAGACAACTCCATGGAAAATGTGCCAGAGCTTATAAACAGAAACTCCCATAACCATCAGAACAGTCCTTTAAAGAGAGCAGCCACAGGTCCCAAGCAGCATCTTCTACCACTCGGGATTAATACACGACTTGGAAAACCCAACCCCATGGAGGCCAGTTCGCAGTTTATCAGTCCAGAAACAATGCAATTCTGACAACTCTGGACAGGGTTTTTCCAAGAATGTGAGACTTCGTACAAAAAAGGATCAGCCCCAAGAACAGCTGCGGCATCTGAAGAAAAATGACCTGTGCGGGGGTGCGGGTGGGAGGAACTAAGAAGCAGGGTTTCCCCACCTCTGAGGACGTGCAGGGCCAGGAAGTTCTTCACACAGGGCCGTTGTGTGATGTGGACAGGGAGACAGCACCCGGCCTCTGCCTCGGAGATCCATCCTATGGCACCTCTTACCCCAGTCTCAACAAGCAAAATGGCCAGGAACTGCTGCCTCGTGAGTCATTATAAGCCAGTCTGGTTTGATGCAGGGCTAGATGAAAGAACAATGGAATGGCAAGGAGAGGAATCCTTGGATCCCGGCAGGGAGAGAAGGCAGGAGTAGGAAGCAGTGCGGGAGATGCGAGTGCTGTGAGTGCTGAGACATTGTGCCATTTCTGCAGAGGAAATGAACACGGGATTCCCCCCTGTGACACAGGCTGACTGGCAGTGCACCAAGCAAACAGGAAAAAGAAAACAAAACTCAGACTAAATAGAGTAGAGTGTCCCTCTAACTTGGAGCTAAGGATTTCTTAAAATACAAACCATGAACAAAAGTGGAAAAGCGGCTTACCACAAGCATGTGATTTGGCAAAGTCCACTTGTAAAGTAAGTGAGATATTACATACATCAGAGAATCAGTGAAGATCAACAATCACAAGCATAAGAATCAATAAGACAAAGAGAAAAACGAGAAATTGAGGAAAATAAAATTAAAGCCAAAATAACATTTCATCCTTTTTTTTACAAAAAATTTAAATAAATATTTGACACCATGAAGTGTTGACAAAGATGTAATCAGCACACACATAGCTAGGAAGATGATAAACTGGTATATATTTTAGCGAACAATATGGCAGAGTCTAGTAAAAATGACGTGTGTCACATGACGAGTAGTTACTCCCTTAGAAGTGATTCCCAAAGCACAGTCCCCACACCATCAGCCTCAGCATCACCCAGCAATGTGCTGATATAATGTGAGTCCTTGGCCCCTTCCAGACCTTCACAGGAAGCTGGGTCTAGGCCCTCTCGGGGCCTGTGAGGCTGCTCTTGTAGGAGAGCTACTGACCCAAAGCAGCCCTCGTGCATATGGAGAGAATAAGAATGTCCGCACCAGCACTGTTTTTAATAAAGTTTTAAAAGCTATGAACACATACTCAACACAGTAATGAATACACGACAGTGTATTTATTTGCACAGTGTAAATGAGAATGTAAATCAAGTCTGAGCTGAAATCATCAACATGGATGCTTAATCCAGATGTCTGTCTTATGTGCATAAAAACACACATCCTGGAGTACTACTTCTGTGACTGTTTCATTTGGAATACACCTGTGTGTAAGGACCAGCAGCGGAGGTGATCAGAGAGGGGCACAGGGGACTTGAGGTTGGTGAAATTTCATTTCTTCAGGGAGTATGTGGATATTAATTACTTATGCCTTTCTGTAACATTCTTTAAAGATCTGAAGCAAATGACGTTAAATCTGGAAATGTGGGTATGTTATATTATCATTAGTTCTTTTCTAAATATTTAAAATACTTTCTAGTTAAACTGAAAACCATGAATGGATGATGATAACTCTCAAAGCTCTAAATAAAACCCTCATGGGGAGATAATTATATCAGATAAAATCATAAGCCAGTGGCTATATTTTAGGTCATCTTTGCATTCTAGCTTGTCTCTGGGGGGACAGTAAATTTAGTACAGGTGCATTTTTATCTATTAATTCTGTCTTTCCTTTGTTGTTAACGTTACCACTAGCAGAAACATGACCTCATTCTCTTCCCAGCGCCCCAGAGGACTGAGGCACAGAGGAAGCCCTGGCTCAGGAGAGTCAAATCTGCTGACCTAGCAATTACCAGAGACCCAACATCTAACTGAGGATCACGGAGCCGGAAAAGAAAACAGAGCAGGCCCTCTCCACAGTGATGTGGTGATCAGGACATCTTGACACTTGGCACAGGACAAAAGCAGTAAGAAATCTTTCCTGAGAAGATCACTGGGCCAGGTGGGACAGGTTCCTGTGGTGTCCCACATACACAGGGCCTGGCTCTGCAGCCCCTGCTCTCCAGCTCACCCAGTTCACGACATCCAGGTGGCTACAGATGGGCCTTCTCCCTTTCTTTCCTTTGGTTATTTTCTGAGTACAACTTTCCACGGCCTTGTCTTAATTTAAAAATGATGGCTTGCCTTAGCAACCTTTGACTTCTATTTCAGATTCAGTGGAATGAGTCCAAACTACCATGTTTATTGTGCAGAGTTTTAATTCTGATTGAGTCATCTAAATTAGACTCCCCATTTTCATCCTTGGAGATGAAGAGGCCGCCTTCTGAAAGGGAGGTGTGACGGTCAGACTGGGAAGTCCAGAGAGAGCTGATGATCATGCAGTGGTCTCGTCAGCTCTTGCTGAGGCAAAGAAGCTGAAAATCCTGAGGCCTGATATTTTTTTCATCGGTACTTTAAAACTACATACTCACAAGATATGCCCAGCTCTATTATTATTATTATTATTTTTTACCCTTTAAAGAATGAGCCAAACTCTTTCTTGAGATGCTCAAAACCACAAAGACCCAACCACTTACTGTTTAACTGACATCTGTCTAATAGGCACTGCCACACACCTGGCCTGGCACTGTGCTTGGCCAGCTGTGGAGGCTGCTGCAGCCTTGGTGATGGGGTCTTCAGGAGGTTTGTGGGTTAGATGAGGTCATCTGCTGGCCCCCACCTTGCCAGAAACTGCTTGCAGCTCTCCAAAACTGCAAGCAGTACATTTCCATCATTTGGGTCACCTGGTCTACGGTATTTTGTTACGGCAGCCCGAGGCAAGACAGTGGCCAGGACAGGATGCAAATACCTGCCATGCCCTCTTTTCTTCTCTAAGGAGCCGGAGAGACTGTACTGTGCAGCCAGCCCACCTGAAGTACCTGGGCACTGAGCACCACAGTTGGACCTTTGCCATCAGAATACCCGGGAAGAGGCTGGCACTGGAACTGTAGATGGAAAACCTAACCTGTACTACCCCCGGAAGTGGAAACAGCAGCAAGTGGAAACCTGAATGGACCGCTGCATGCATCTGCACACTCGAGGCACCCAGACAAGACTTTCACCTGTTCTCCACAGTATTTCCTGTCCTCACCCTTTGATTTCTTTAGCCTTTCCTGGGAGGAGACATGTATGACAAAGAAAGGACAGGCAGTGTGACAGAGATAAAAGGGGTGGGGTAGGGAAAAGGCGAAGGGTGAGTACAGAGACCTGGGAAGAAGGGGTCCTGGGACACTGAGATGTTCAGCACAGAGCCCTGATTGTATCTCCGAGCTGCCTGAGGCAACAGGCTGTGTGGCTGCCTGCTGGTACCTGTGTGTGCACACGTGTGTGTGTGTGTTTAGGAAACCGTGCAGCATCTACTTCTCCCCTAGTCTGTTCACTCCCCTCCACACCCTGGCAGGTACCAGAGATCAAACTCTGGACCTTGCGCTTGCAAGGCAGGCATGGTACCACTGAGCTAAATCCTGGGCCCCTGTTCATTCACTTCTGCATCTAGCTGTCCTTCACAGCACCAGTCACAGAGGTAAAAACCTCTATGTTCAGCACAGGAACTGATCAAAACTAGCTGTTCTCCATATCCATGGGTTCCACAGCTGCAGAGTGAAACAGCCTTGGGTGGAAAATGTGTTAGATCTGCAGTGGTAGTGTCTGGACTGAATGTGTACAGACATTTTTACTAGGCATTATTCCCTAAGGGGTATGGTATAAAAACTGCATGCAGCATGTACATGGTACTACGTGTAAGCCATCTAGGGATGATTTAGGCATATGAGAGGATATGTGAGGTTCTATGCAAATATGACACCATTTTCTCTAAGGAGGCTTGAACAGAATTTGGTATCCATGCAGAAGGTTCTAGAACCTGGCCCCTAGGGATACTAAGGACAGCTGTGTTTTTAGGATAGGCTGCCTCCTGAGGAGGAAGATGCACCCTGTAAAACATACCATACCCTGTCAATGAATTTTTTTCTTCAACCCCCAGGATTGAACCCAGGCTTCATGCATGCTAAGTACGTGCTCTGCCACTGAGTTACCTCTCCAGCCCTCAAGGAATTTTTAATAATGGGGGGAAGAACCTTATACAGTATTCAGAAAAGTCCAACACAAAACCACACAGATGTATAGTTTGGTATCAATTACATAAATACACTCATGAACATACACTGGAAAGTACCACACTAGAACAGTAATAGGTGTTTTACTCTGCTCTGGAATTATGAATAACTTGTCTTTTTTCAGTTAAAAATGTTTTTTCCAGCTGGGTGTGCAGCTTAATGGTAGAGTATTTGTCTAGCATATGTTAGGTGCTGGGTTCAATCCCAAGCACCAAATAAATAACTAAGAAAATAAATTTTTAAAAATTATTTTCCCAATTTTGTGTAAGCATAATTTTTAATTTAATTTTAATTTTGTTTTTCTTTTTTTGAAACAAGGTCTCACTATGTAGTTCAGACTAGCCTTGAACTCACTATGCAGCCCAAGTGGGCTTCCAACTCCGGCCAATCCTCCTGCCTCAGACTCCCGAGCGCTGGGATTACAGGCGTGCACCACCACACGTCCAGCTTACCATTTGTAACTTTAGAAGTTTTTTCTGTTTTGTTTTGCTTTTTAAATCTTCAACTAGAACCTAAAAGTACAGGAAGAGACAGAAGAAGGACCAGGCAGATGGGCCCCGGCGTGTACACTTTGACTTGGTGTATACTAACAGAATGGACTCCTGGGGACTTTGTTCCACTGTCCCCACTCACCTCGCCTCTCCGAGATCTGCAGGTAACCTGTGGACAGGTACTGCTCCATGTCCTGCTGGAAGGCCTCCTCGAAAAACTTCTGCCGCTCCTTCAGCTTCATCTGCTGGGCGTGTTCCATTTCCAGGACCTTCTGCGCATGCTCTGCATCCAGCTCAGCTGGGGAAGCACAACACTGGAATCAGGGCCTGCACACACACCTCCATGTGATGGTGCCACACGGCTTGTAGTGGCCTGGGATGGTGCCCAACTGCAGGGACAGTACCTCCACCACCCTCCTCCCACTTAGCTGTGCATCCTCCATGTCACTCCACGGCTTTATGTGTTCTATTGACCCTCCCCACCAATGTCACCCACTCTTCGATGACAAGTACCTGCTCATGTTTTGGACCAACTTCCCAAGTGACTCCTGGGCTAACAAGTGTCTTAATCCATCCTGATGTTTCTACATCACTGTGTTCACAGTTGCAGCTGACTTATGAATTAGATACAAGGTGAGACTTGGGAGTTCCTGGAGAACTGTGACCACAGTTCAATGTCTGGCATGTTGTAGCCCTTGATAAAAACTGAGAGTATGAAATCATGGAACAGTGTTCAATCTTAAGAAGGAAAGAAATTGATACAAGCACAAGGGTGAACCTTCAGGAGATACACCAAATAAAATATGCCAATCATGAAACGATGAGCACTAAAAGATTCAGTGTATATGAGGAAGCTAAGAGTAGCCAAATCCATAAGATGGAAAGTAGAATGGCAATTCCCAGTGGGTGAAACGGGGCAGGAAGATGGGGAGTTAATACGTACAGAGATTCAATTTCACAGAACCAAGAGAGTTCCAGAGATAAATAGTGGTGAGGGTTGCACACCCTTATGAATGTATTTAGTACCACTGTGCATTTAAAAATTGGTAACATGATAAACTTTTATGCTGTGCATATTTTACAATGAAAAAATTAGTAAAAACAGTTAAATATGCAGCCATTGTGGAGTATTAGAAAGTGCTAGAAACTGGCAAACAACTTTGCTGTTTATCAACCATGAATCCTGGCTAATCAATTAACTTTTGAAATCAATTAACATCTGAAAATTTTAGAAAAATTAACCCAATATGAAACTTCTATGAAATAAGATGAAAGAACTGTAGAATGAAAGAGCAGTGACCTCTCCAGTAACACCAGGTAACAGCTACTCATTAATCACCCTTCAACTTGACATTTAAAGAAGAGTCACAGTGTGCATATCCTTAAAGTTATAAGAAAACATTTATCATTACTCACCCTGGATGGGCCAAGAGTGATTTCCAGACTTGCTTTTAAATCTTAAGTCCTCCGAACCTCCCACTGGATGTGGGCAGAACCCTAATGTAGCCCCATCCCTCTGCTCCTAGGTGTGCTTCCCCTGAATAACTCCAAGGATGGTGACTGTGACAGGTAACCCCATGTCTCTGTAATGCTCTATGGCAGAGCTGAATTTACAAAGGATGGACATCTAAGTGAGCCTGGCCCACCCAAGGGAAAGACAAGAAGTACAAAAGGAATTTGACACAGGCACATTCTCTGTCACTGGCCATTCTCTGTCACCATGGAGGGGGCTATATCACAGATAATATGGGAGCTGAGCATCCCAGTGGACAAGTATCAGCACCACAACTACAAGGGACTAGAACTCTGGCAAAACCCCACATGAACCTCTGAGCAGATTGGGCTTCAATGCCCCCAGAAAGCTGGGCTTCTGATCCAGCCTGAGAATGATATGTTTGCCTGGTTTTAAACTGCCAAGGCCATGGCTATGTGGTCCATGGCAATATGGGCTGACTCCTAACAAGGTGTATGAATCCCAGCTGCTGCCTAAATCTGGTTGACTGAAGAATCTAAAAAGGATAACCCAAGCTCCTTCCCTTAAGGGAATAACATCAGGTTATAACAACCCATCACGTGCTCTTCTACTAAAAATTTGTACTTTAACTAAAAGAGAACAACCTCCAACCTAGACTGATGTATCCAGCAAAACTCTCTTTCAAAATGGATGGGGAAATAAGACACTTCCACGACAAAGAACACCTGAGAAACTACATGAATACCAAACCAGCACTACAAGGAATTCTAAACAAGATCCTAGAAAAAGACAATGAAGGCAACAACACGATGAGGCCCAACAGAGCAAATCAAATAGGCAAGGCAAGAAATTAAAAGGAGAAGGTGAAAAAGTAAAAAGAGTCAACTAAAGGCCAATAACATGTCAATAATAAGTCAGTACATATCAGTTATAACCAGCAATGTCAATGGCCTCAACTCACCAATCAAGAGAAATAGACTGGCAAAATGGAATAAGAAGCAAAATCCAACAATATGTTGTATACAAGAAACACACCTAGCACAAAAAGAAGCCCATAGACTGAAAGTGAAAAGATAGAAAACAATTCTCCATGTGACAGGAGCCCCCCAAAAAAACAGGGGTAGCAATCTTATTTGCAGACAAAGTAAATTTCAAACCAAAACTGATTATAGTATTATTGATGTAGGACAGTACTGTATCATACCTCTATGAATGCAAAATATCTTGTACCTGCTTTATGATACATAGTAGAGACCGTGCTTTATCAGAGCTACATTTAATGATATTACTCTAGAAAGATGTTCTCTTTCCAGATGATGACTAAGAGGCTAATAGAAAAAATGGTGCCAGGTACCACAGCAGCAACAGAACTTTGCTGTTGTCTGGATATTATTCTTTTCTTTGTTTTTTTTTTTTTAATGGTATGTGCTGAATGTCTGTAATTTTGTTCAGATGACTGCAGAACCTGGAAAAGCTGTTGCTGTTATCGATGTATAACATACTATTATTAGTCTTTTTATATAAATATAAATATATATGCATATATATATATATAAATTGAATTTTGGGAAACTTTAATGGTGTTGCCAATTTTGGAAAAAGTCATCCCAATTTACTGTGTTGAGTTGGCATTGTACAGAAATGGACAGCCATATTGGTCTAGAAATGTTAATTTATTTTTATTTTTTTTTTTCCATGTGTACAGGGGTAACACATCGTACTAAACATGTAAGGTCATATCTACGTGGGTTTGATTACAGAAACTCATAAAGTATTCTCTAAATAATGAAAAAATGAATAAGATAAGACTATAAGAGCAAGAAGCAATTTAAATACGTTCAGGGACCATTTTCATCTCCAGAATTAAGGATTATTTTAATGTTACATCATTGCCTTTCCTCTTTTACTTTCCTATTTAGTTTTATTTTAGGATTCCCTATTTTTAATGTTCGTACAGAGATTTCTTTAACTGAAATACCAAATAGTTTCTTTGGTGTGAAAAACTATAATAGTACACAGGATCCTAAAGAGATAATTAATAATGTGAAATAGAAAGTAAAGGGCTAAAGGTGTAGGGCAAGTGGGAAGGGTGGGGGAAAGGTAATAAGGGAGAGGAAAAAAATATGAGAAACTGAAAAAATGGAAATAAAGTGTTTATAAACGGGGAGGCGAGGAGGGGGTGAAGGGAGGGCAGGGACAAGGGGAAAAAATGAGAATCAAGACCTATTATGTCTTTACAGAATCCCAATGATGAATGTAACTGTACTGTATACCTAGATTGTACCAATAAACTCAATAAAAAAAAGTTTTGTACTTTAGGATAATAGTAGCTGGCTGTGAGTCTCAGTAGTTATAGAAAGATACTGGGGGATACAGAAAACTCAGAAAGCAATCTTTGTGTTTACTCACTTGGTACAATGAACAAGGTATACATATGTACACAAAAGTGTCAAACCAGGATTTTTTACCCACGTAATGCTATAACAAATTTTGCATGCTTACCTGGGCATAACGGGGTAAAATATACCCTTACCACCCTTCTGTTATGAAAACATGTATTTTATTGTAATGGAATGGGAATGGGACTCACAGTAGCTGTACCTGGATAAAGGACCCATCTGTGCATTCATCCACTTGGCAGACAGACAGCAAGGTACATACAGGAGCTCCAAAATAGCAACAGGTGAAATGCTTACTGATAAATTTCTGTGCACTCTGGATTGAAGTTTTCTTTTAATTTTTTTTTTCTGGCAAAATTAGCCCAATTCAGTACAATGCCATTTGAAAAACCAGATTTGCAAGTGTTGGAGAAGGTCAAAAGTGAATCATCAGACTGCTCAGGCAGAGATGATGAAGATGATAATGACTCTGACTTTGGCCATGTATGTCAAAGTTCTTGTGACAGTCAAAGGGAGCAAGAATTAACTGACAGACACAGGGAATGCAGATGATGAAGAAAACAGCAATATGGGTATATATTTGACTAACAGAAATATTGCAAAATGGTCATGCAACCAAATGGAATGATCCCATGTTAGAACTAGGTCTGAAAATATAGTGAGGATCTTAGCAGGGGTAAAATCTATTGGACAGAATGCCAGCACTGCCATTCAATTGTAACAATTGTTGGAAATTGCAACAGATGAAATGCTCCAAGATGCTGTGAAACCATAAAGGCTGAAATGTAAGTAAAATGTTCTGTATGCACCAATAGCCATATTAAAAATGTATTTATTATGACATCCTGCTAGCTTAACTGAAGGCATTCATAGGTCTGCTGTATTTAGGGTTTTTTCATGGTAATCAGAGGAATGTAAAAGAGTTACAGAAAAGTGATGGGTCAAAATATGGCATAAAACTTTATGCTCTTTTAGATGCAAAAACTTATTATGCTTCCAATCTAGACATTTACCCTGCAACTCAGCCAATAGGTCCTTAGTCATATAGTAATAAACTGAATGATGCTATGAACACACTTGTTGCTCCCATTTCTTAAACTAACTGGCATGTGCCATTCAAAAACTGCTTTACTATTTTTCCAATCGATGTTACATTTGTTAACAGAGTACAAGTTGACCAGCGTAGGAACTGTATGCAGGAACAAAGCAGAAGTTTTAAATGAAATGTTACAATTTCAAAATAGGGAATTGTATAATACAATCTTTGGATTTCAGAAAGATTTCTCATATATGACCTCATATACGGTAAAGAAAAACAAACTAGTACTGCTGATGTCAACATTGCACCATGATGGAAATACTGATAGGGAAACCTCAACAAAGCATAAGTCTGAGATGGAAATTTTCTACAACAAAACCAAAGGC